CACGCTGTGACGACGTTAGGCGGCGTCGATAGCACGCCGGCATGGCATGAAGGCATTGACATCGCGACATTGTCGGTGTCCTAATGTGATACCATTTGAAAGAAGTTTGTGGCTGTTTCCTAATTTTGTCCCTCGTTATTCGTGTACCATTCCCCGTAGTACATTTCATCGTACATTGCATTGTGTATCTGTAAAACTCAGCAATCTTACATTAGCTACGCACTTGTATGAGGACGTTTTAAATTGGATTGATCCTGTACCTAGCTACCCCACCATCGCTTCGGCACAATGGAGTCATTGCGATTTCGTTTTCAGTTTGCTCTGAAACACACCAACGCTGAATGAACCATGGCACCAACATGCCGTGATGTTTTGTCGCTGATGGATTGTGAGTGCCGCCTGCCCCTTAGTTCGCGTACGGTTACTTGGCAAGCGACGCCGTCGACACCAGTCTAACATTATTGTGACTGAGACGAGCGGGGAAAGCTATCTGCTGTGCGAAAGAGGCATCAAGTGACAGCTATCGTTTAGATACCACGTATTTATTCTTATCTACGATACCAGATGGTGCTGGGTAAAATGAGGACATATATAGTTGTACTAGTCAGGTTATTCACAGACCATTTCCGTCGCTAGGCAGCACGTATTGTTTGCGACTTGCGTGCAGCATCGCAGCCATTTTTCGTCAGGCTTTCTGGATTTCTTAAAGGTTGAAGGGGGGAGCGTGGCTCAGAGTGAAGGCATTTCACTGATTTTCACCTTTCCGTCCGGGGGGCCATCTGTGGTAAAAGTGGTCAAAATGTGAGTTTAAGGGGGATGAAAAAATGGATACGGGGAATCCACCTACCCACCCACCCTCTATCTGCGTTTGTGCTTGTGAAGGAGGTAGCTACTTCATACAATTAATATAATTTCATCCGCGTTTGAAAAATAATTCCGTGTTGGGAAAGGAGAGAATCTTCATTTCTGGGTCATTCGAACGAGAGCAGTATCTGTGCAACTGCAGCCGGCTGCATGTAGCGACTCATTTATCGCTTGCGTCACCTGCCCTGACTGATGTTCTGGGCCTTAACTGTCATGTGGAGCCTGTAACACACGTTGGTCAGCCGTCAATCAGATGGTAGCACACGCTGGTCAGCCGCCAGTTAGTCAGCTGGTAACACACTCTGGTCAGCCGCGGCTTGCTGTCTAATCCCTCCGCTCTTTTGACCTTGCGCCATCTCCTCACGAACCTGACGTCTGGTTCCGAACCAGCAGCTCATATGCCGCATTGTTATTGGTTTCCTGACCTCCCATTAGTTTAGCCCTAATTTTACGTTCAACATGCGGTTGTAAGGTCAAAATGGTCGGCGTAGTCTCCTCATTCCTGCAATTATGTACAGCTTATTTACGTTCACTGAAATTACCCGGCCTCACCCTTGGCATACAACCTTCTCCTGGTCTCTTCCACTCTGGCTGTTCCTTTCCTGGCCCCTTTTTTTCTTGCCCCTCCTGGTATCGTGTCCTTCCTTTACCTTCTTACCCTGTCTCTTCCTCCCCTGCTGGCTCTACCTCCGCTGGCTTGTCTCCGCTGCCCTCCTGATCCCCTTCGTTTTCTTGGCGTCCTGCCGTGTCAGGAGGTCATAACTCGAGGCGTTGACGATGTTTTCGTGCCGCCGGCTATTAAATGAGTCTCGCTGCCGGCCGCCGTACGCTTTACGGCCGTGTTTTGATTCATGCTCGGACTTTCCCAATTCCAACGTTGTTGATGACTTCCGAACCGGGCCCTGCATCAGCAACGACCTTCATTATGAAGGAAGATATGGTGCCTCTGATCTCTCGATCGCGAAAATCATCATTATCAAGGTAAAATGTATGTGTCATGATAGAGTGAAAACGTGTTAGACTTGATGCAAGAAAAAAAGCTTCTGTTTTGGGGACATTTTGGGCTGAAAGTTTTTATATTAAGTCAACGACTTTCAGTATACCATGGGGTACTGTTTAAGCGACGTGGTAATGCTGAATAAGTAGTTTATTGACGGTACTCAATGTTTCAAGTTGCGCTCATCCTGAAAACTGAGTAGAGCACCCGTGAGGATGCAGACAGGGTAGGAGGTCATCATTGCTCTTGAGGATGAGCACAGCTCGAAATATTGAGTAACGTGGATGTAACCGTTGTTTGGCATTGCAACGTCGTTTTGCCAGTACCCTCTGGTATGCTGTAGGTCGTTAACTCAACATAAGAATTTGTAGCTGATGACACCGTATAGGGCCGGTGTACTTACCTTAGTTTAGGTATGCTGTACATTATTTCAATACTAAAGAGAACATGAGAACCATTTGCATGGCAACAATATGACACGTAAATGTTTGATAACTGCCTTTCTTTGTTATGGAAAAGTACCAAAACATATGCCCCGCAGTGCTGTGATTTGATCTGCAGTGCCGTGGCAGAATTTCCACGAAATATGTGCGGAATAAATATATACAATATATATTTACACGATGTATATAATACACGATATATATATATGTCAATAAACTACTATATATATACATATATATATATATTTATATTTATATATATATATATATATATATATATCCTGCTCCACGGATTTTGACGTAGCTGCTCCGAATGCCATTACTCTGGTCTTGCTCGGACGGAAGAAATATGTGATGCTTCCCCTCGTGTTTTGCTTTGCCTTGACCACGATGGCTGTCAAGAACCACCAGGAACTAGAACTAGAAACAAGGCGGGACTAGTAACGTGCACCAGAGTCCTTGTCGCGATCACCAGAGCACCAGCGGAGAGCGCCGACTGGCGGGCGGAGAAAGAGATGAGAGATGGGCCTGTGTGCGATACAGCCGCTGAGTGATGCTCGAGTGGTTGACGGTGGACGAAAGCCTGGGTAAGTCGCTAAATAAATAATGAATGAGCCTGACGGTAGCGGAACTGGATACGCGCCGGGCCGGACCGTGCGCTCGCGGGTGTCGACCGCGAGCTGCGACGTCGGCTGGTGACGGCGGCCGGTGCGTGGGTGGCACTGCTCGGCATCGTCATCATCAGTGGTGGATGTCGGGTCGCCTGGATGCTGAACCCAGCAGCTCAGCGCTGTCATCTCGGTCAGCTGGGCATCGTCAGCTCAGCTCTCAGATCAGTGATCAGTTGAGCCCGGTCCTCTGTCGAGCGGGCTGAAGCCGGCACCGGTTTTCTCGGCTGGGCTGACCGAGCTGACCGAGCAGAGCTAACCGAGCTTGCGAAGTTGAGCTGACCGGGCTGACCGAGCTGACGGAGCTGAGCTAACCGAGCTTACGAAGTTGAGCTGACCGGGCTGACCGAGCTGACGGAGCTGACGGAACTGGGCTGATGGAGCTGGCGGAGCTGAACTGACTGAGCTGACCGAGCTGAGCTGACTGAGCTGACCGAGCTAATGGAGCTGACGGAGTTGCGCTGAATGAGCTGACGAAGCTGAGCTGACCGAGCTGACAGCGCTCGGCCCGCGCGGCCGGCCTCTGCGCTGCGTGTCACCGCTCAGTCCTGCACCTATTCACGGGGTGGCAGCGGGGCGGCGGCTGCTCTGCTGACACCAGTAACGTCACTGACGTCACTCATCAGTATCTCGCTGCCGGCAGCGCTGCACCACCTCGGAGTGCGCACTTTAAGGCCCGGCGGCGTGCCGGACGTCACGCGTTTTGCGAACGACCGTCAGGAACTGGCGTGCTGTACTGCTGCGAGATGATATCCGCCATTGACAGCCGGCCGGTGCAGTCCGTCGGTCAGCAGGACCATATGCACTATTGAGGTCTTTGGCCTGGTATTCACTGGCTGCGAGAGTTAGGTTCAAGTGCACTAAACAGAGAAGCCCCGCAAAATAAGAGCAATTCGAAAGCGTCATTTAATACGCAGACAAGCAGCGTCGGTCCAGCACAATCGCAGCGATGTTTCGCGGCTACGTTCGTGGCAGCCAAGTGTCAGACCCGTAATTTGCAGTGCAGTGGCACAGCGTGGCTTTCACTCCACTCGAATCTTGTGGTGTTTCGTGAACGTGGGCTTACGTTCCGCGGTTCTGTTTCGCTTCACCACTCAAGTCAAGTGTAATACTTATCGGGAGTGTTGATGAGGATAGGGTCTGCTAAGCCGCATTTCCAGTTTTTAGACTGTCTTTTGGCGGACATGATTCCGCAGGTGGCAACGCTGCGCATTTCAGCTCTCCGTGCACTGTCAAAGATGGGATAGTAATGCCATCGGCCGGTCTACGTTTTAGTGGTCACGTTCGGCGGTTTTGTTTCGCTTCACCACTCAAGCCAAGTGTAATACTTATTGGGAGTGTTGATGAGGATAGGGTCTACTAAGCCGCATTTCCAGTTTTTCAGACTGTCTTTTGGCGTACATGATTCCGCAAATGGCAACGCCGCGCATTTCAGCTCTCTGTGCGCCGTCAAAGATGGGATAGTAAGCCATCGGCCGGTCTGCCCGGTGCGTCCAATGTGCTCGTTCGTCGTGTGGCCTCATGAGACCTGTCTCTGAGTAAGCTCGTGCGGCGCCATTCCGAGGCTCGTGGGCCGCCCGTGCTCCAGCGCAGCCGCTAGTTGTGATGGACGCCGGCGAACGCTCGCCAACTCGCTATTCCACACGCTGCCGAGGCTTCACCCAGACCGTCGAGGGTGGACGGAGCGCCGGCAGCCGGCTGCTCACCGAACCGGAACGCTGAGAACTCAGCACCTCCTGGAACTGCACCTGGAGACGCTTTTAGAACACCTGTCACCCCCAGGGCCGCGGAACTGCGACTGTCGGGCTGGTGTTCCGCTCACCGGGCGTCCAAACGCTGCACGACGGTCGGAGCTGCCTTCGCTGGTGGCACCACCAGCTGCCGTGTCCGTCGGCCGCGTTTGTCGCCCTGGGCCGAACTTGAGGAGGCGATGAGCGCGGGCGGGGCGGGGTCCGGAGAGCGTGCTCATCTTTCGGCTGACCTCAGCCCCTGGCTAACTAACCTCCCTCTTTGGCCGGTGTTCGACAGGCGCGGAGGCACGGCTGCGACTGGTGCCGGACGACGAGGTGATCCTGGTGGCGCGGGTGACGCCGGCCGGGGGCACGGTGCCCGCCTACCGCGAGGCCCGCCCCGAGAACGAGTACATGCTGCAGGTGCGCTCCGACGGCGTCATCGTCGGCTCGGACAGCAGGTCAGTGGAATGACGCCCGGCCGGTGGCAGTCACGAGATTAGGGTAGGATTAGTGGCGGGCTAGCGGCGGGGGTGTTTGACCACAGGGTCTTTTATGGGTCACGAGATCGCAGGGTTAGGTGTCTGAGTCCCTAGGTTAGTATAGGGCCTGGTTTGGGTCACGGGGTAATGGTGTCAGTGGATCATTGACAGGTCACCATATCGGAGTCGGGTCACCGGGTCACTGTGGAGTCACCAGGCCAGTGTTGGGTTAGCGGCCGATCACTGGCGTAATTAGTGATGCTCAAACAGGTTAAAAGCTCCCTGGTGTTACTGTACGTGTTGCTATTATCGGTGCGATGTCACGAACTCACAACACCGTTTACATGGGTCTATTGCCCGGGTTTTAAGCTGGAGACCGCCTTCGCTCCCAAATGTTATAGTGAGCTGCCGATAGAGCAGCAGGACACACAGCTGTGCAGGCTGCTTCCCTTGACAGTGCCGTGTGAGCTGTTCTGATTCTACTCAGGTTTTGACCGGCTTGCACTACCCCTTTGGACGCAGGAAAGATCGAGGAAGGAGCATGGGCATTGGATGGTGGGTAAGGGGTGGGGGCGTGCAGAGAGCCCCTATCCCTGTGACAACTGTGGAATAGATCATAATGCGTTGCGTGACAAAACACATTAAAATGGAAAACCCTCCACCTACTTAGGGCTCTGAGACTCTCCGCCTCTGGGGCAGACCGCTCAGCTGTCGTTTGAACGCTTTGACCGCATCGCCCACGCTCTGAGACTTAGCGGAGAACCGGCGTCCTTGTTTCAGGATAAGCATCTGTGCCGGCTACCTGCCCAGCGAGGTGGCACAGAAGTCGGTGCACACGTTCCTGCACCAGGACGACCAGATGTGGGCGGCCGTGCGACAGGGGCTCAGTGAGTACCGCCGCTGCCCCACGCGCTCGCACCAGCCGTACAACGCCACTCGCGTAAAAGGGTCTGAAGCCACGTCTCAAGGGTAAAAGGGGTAACGGGGTACGGAGCACGCCGGTTTGCACTGGCACGGTTGAACTGGCCAAGCTCCTACCGCAGTCATCACTAGTCATCGGTCATCAGTGGGAGGCGAGCTATTACGGAAGGTCTGGCGTTGGGGGCTGCTCCATTTCCTGTCCATCTGGACGGCTGGCAGCGGATGCTGTCAGGCAGTTTCAAGCTTCCAAAGTCTCGTTGCTGCCACAGTCGTCCGAGACGGCTCACCATATATCATGCATTTCTGGCTTAACTGCTCCGGTGTTACGGCAGGCTCCCGACACTCTGCCGCGGACCTGTTTGCTTTCCACGCGACCTGGAAATTATAAGGAGCTCTGCAATGTTCGAAACTTGGCTAGGTCATCGTAGGAGGAACCTGCCAAGTTGTTACGTTGGATTTGGCCTGCGGTTTATTATCAGAATGCTCGATGATAGGCTCAATGGCTCGGGCTGCGAGCTGCTGCCGAACTTTGAGGCTCGCGCAGCCGCCGTGTTCCCTGGGGAACGTCTCCGTGCAGAGCGCTGTCGCTTCTGCAAAGATGCATCGAAACTGTACATGATTCGATGGTGATTACTGTTGCAATTGGATTGCGGGAGATTACGACCGGGATCGGGTTATGGTAGGCCGTGCAAGTATGATGCAATCGGATATTGCATATCTTTGGAGCTCAATCAGTGGTGGTATTTTTACACGACTAAATCAGATGTCCACGTGCAAGAATGTACAGCTTTGTTTCATAGGAGCAATACAGCTTGTGTCAGCAGCCTTATGGTAAAAATTCAGACGTCATATTATCAAGTTCGTTTCGCGTCGTTTTAGCTCGTTTCAAGCTCGACATGATAATTGAGGTAAAATATAACGTGCCTACGAAATAAATTTAATGTGTTTGTTTTAATCTAACAGTTCCTGTTGAGACATGCACAATTATCTGTAAAGGGACACCTGACGGGACATAGATACAACGGGCTGGATGTCAGACAGTGGGACCCATCGTCATATGTCAGTCACCTATATGTCAGTCACCTACTTGACCTTTTATCTGCATACTCAAGCCTCCACATCTCTTCTGGAGCGGGTTTTTTATACAGCGCGGGGTCTGCTGCGTGCGGCACTGGGAGTCAGGTATGGTGCTATTGATCCACGCTGCAGTGAAACGCCTCAGCACTGAAAACGTTATGACACTCTTCAAACACTGCGTTAGCGTTCGGACGTCGGGGCCTGTTTCCGGGGACTACCCAGTGCCCTATGTGCCCGTTGTCCCATGTTTCAACAAGCAGGAGTTCTCCCCGTGTCTCACTACCGCAAGACACCTCCATGTCCACCTGTCTGAGCGCCTCCATGTCCAGCGCATAGTTGAGCCGCTGGCTGAGTTTTCCTGCTCCCTCCCTCCCCCCCCCCCCCCCCGTTTGGCGTGGCACACCTGGGTCACATGCTGCTCGTCGTCGTTGTAACCAGGCATGTTCGTTTGCAGTGTTCCTGTTTCCGCAAGACTTCGACAGCGTTACCGTTCGTCTTATCTCGAGTACCAACGAGATCACCTATATGCACGTGAAGGGCGATATGAGTGAACAAAGCCAGGCCGCGCTACCTCCAGGCCACTTCTGCACGCGCCAGGTCATCATCAGGTCAGTGGCTGTTACTAGCAGCAGGTCATTACGTCACCATCAGCTCAACAGTCGTTAACTAGCGGGGTTACGAAGCAGTCAGTCATATAATTCGTAAGAATCATTCCACGCGTTGATTATCACAAATTCAGTCGATGTGTTTACACAATGCTACAGAACAGAAGACAAAGCACCACGGAACGAAATAGCAAAGGCCAACGCACGTGCCACCTAAAACGCTCCCCACGAACACACACGCACACCACAACAAAACCACCCTAGCGCAGCGACATCGCGCGCTGCTGTCCCCGGCGGTCGGCTCCGCTGGCCGGGCGTTCCAGGACGACGCGGCTCTGCATGCAAACTCCCGCTGAGTTTTGACCAGACGACGCCCCAGGAGCCGCAGCATCTAGGCCGCCACGGCGCGAGTGTCGTGGGATGATATATTGGCGCGACGAACAAACGTGTGCGATAGAGTTGGGGGACACTGGCTGCGGAACAGGGTTTTCCGCACCTGTGTGCAGTCGTGGCGGCGCGCCATCTTCTCCATCTTGTCCAGCCAAGCGCTTGTGGCGCTGGTGAGATGCATTCTGGGCGCCGCACCCCAGTCACAAGTCTGGCTGCAAAGTTCAATGTTTTTTGGACACGCTGAAGCTGACACTTGGTGGCTTCTTCCCAGGCAGAAAGACAGTAATAGATGTGTGGGGAAAACATGGGCTTGGACTAGGAGTTTGAAGACGGCGGATGTAAAACGATGGCGGATCTTGTGGAGGGAGTTTCACCGACAGGCTGCCGTGGATATGTGCGAGTACCACGTCAGATGCTGGTCGAGGAGTGCGCCAAGAATTTTAACGGTTTTAATGTGATGTATGTGTTGACTTAATATTGCTATGTGGAATGGTTATTCCTTTAAGAGAGACTGTTTGAGAAACTTTAATAAGAGTTGCGAAACTTTTGCTTGGCTTCGTCTTTAGACTATTAATCCGGAACCGCAGTTGGAGATCAAAGATCGACCCCTTGATTCGCCTTCTGAGTTCAGATGGCCCGGTGGTGTTCGGTGGGGAGTGATCAAGAAGTTGGGTGCCGTCAGCGTGGGGCAAGAGTCGGCCACGGGTGAGGTGATGAACAGTGGGAAGAGGATTGGTCCCGGAATGAATCCATGAGCTACTCGGTGGGTCGGTGGAAGGATATCAGAGAAGCCGCCGCTCACTGTTTACGATCGCTGAGAAAGCTCAGGAACCGTCCCGACAGCACACCATACCACTATAACTTGTCGATAACGACGCTATGGCTGACGCTGTCGAAGGCTTTGCCCAGGTCGAGCGTAGTTAACCACGCAACGTGACCGTCGTCGATATGTCTCGATGCCCAGAAGACAGCGTAGAACGCGGCGTCTTCCGTTGAATCGCAAGGTCGATGCGCACATTGGTACGACGATGTGACACTTTTTCTAAGAGGCATGTCATGAGTCGAAAAGAGGCGATCTTCTCCGTTATCTTGGAAGGTTATAATGCACGGACGGTTTTGAAAGGGGTCTGAAGTTGTTGAGGTCGGAACGACCGCCGGACTGTGATGGAGTGATGTGGAGTGATGGAGCTGGAGTGATGCGAGTTAGTTTACAGGCTGATGAGAAAGCAGAGGTGATGATGGAACTACTGATAAAATGGGGGCGATGGACTCTGATGAACGGGAAACAGTTCGGCGGAACAGGGCGAAGAGCTTCGAAAAGACTAGTTGAGCGTCGTCGTTTGCTGTAGGCCACCCTGTGGGAGCGGTGATCAGCAGAGCGAGCCGAATCTGTCAGTGATTTTGAACACGCCGGCCACTCGAGTCAAGGATAGGCCGCAATACACAGTGAAATGGACCGAAAGGCGCATGGAGACGCTTGTATCAAAACTGACGGCAATATTACCGGTAATAGCTGGCGAGCGCTCGGCTGCTAGCGGAATCGGCGGCTTGTGTGGTCTACGTGATTCGATTCCCCTCCACTTCGCTCAGTATTTATATCAGATTATACTCCCCGCGAAGACTGTGCTGAGGTCTCGCTTGATGGTTGAGTTTACCGGTCAGCACGGTGACTTATCATTCCCGCTGCGGCCTTGACACACATGCTGATGCAACTCGGGCGCACTAACACTGTTTACACTCGCGCCGTGTTTCATAAATTAAATGTTGAGTGGGTGTTGGTCTGTGCAAGTTTGTAGAAGTTCGTCCCCTTTTCCAAATACGGCATGCGTCGAACTGATCATGCAGCGGGGCCTCGTCAGCAATGATCCCGTCTCTCCTGACGAGGTTAACTGAAATAGCTTCTACCATTTTGACGTGATCTCGACGAGTCTGCTTTATGTTGGTGTTTTGCAGTGCGTTGACAATTACAACAACGATGATCGTTGGCTTTGGCCTCGCTGCGATGTGTCTAGTGCGAGGACCACACGCTGGCTGCAGGACCGGTGATTAAGACAATCGCCTTTTTCGCCACCAATGTCCCCACGGGTCTACTTTGACGTGTCTTCACGCACGTCACATCCCTGGCGGCACCTCGACACGCGGCACGTCCAGCACCGGATGCCAGTCCCGATGCCGGAAGCGTTTCAGGCCGTTCATGACGTTTTCTGCCGAATGCCGCCGTCGCCGCCGCCGGGCTCGGGACGTGGTTGGACGCCGCACCATATCTTTCGACTGCCGAATGTCGGCGCTCCGTGCCACCCTCGTGCCCGCCCATTCGATGACTTGACCTGGGCCGGCGCGGCTGGCCCCCGTCTTCGTTTGCCCCGTTGCACCGGTGTGTGCTGTGCTGCTGCGGGGTGACAGGCGGACTCAGCGACCGGCGTGCAGCGTCGCCTGCGATCCCCGCCCGCTATCAGCCGCTGCACCCGCGCCCCTCCCCCCCCCCCCCTTCTCTCCCCACTCCCCCGGAGCGGCACCTCTGCACACATTGCGTCAATAACGGGCATCGGCGCCCTGTTAGGGTAGAAATAAAAACCGACGTACAAGTATTTAACTCGACGAGTTTTACAGCCGCCGAGCGGTCTCTCCAGATCAATTCGTTTTTGCTTTCATAACTCTCACCCGTCGGCCGACTCTCCGCTGGATCATGGGATCATTCTTGCAAACGTTTTAGAGCCTCTGGCTTATGTAAGTGACGACGATAGGAATCAAGTTCAATGCCGAAAGAGAGGCACGTCACGTATTGCGTGCTCTTTGGTATGTTTAACTAAATTATCCAGTGAGACTCTACATTAACACGATTAGTGGATGCATTATCGCGATTTCAAACCTGTCGAAATCAATCCCTTCATATCCCCTGGTGAGGTCATGTCTGTTTGCATTGTCACTGGCATCGAAGCAGACTGGTCTTGACAAAGACTCCTGGGTGCATTCTCGCCCACCCCATCCATCTTTTGATCTCCGATGCCTTATTCATACCGCCATCTGCAGAGGTGGCTGTCTCGTTTCTCGTACGGATCATAATTGTCTGCGCCGCAAAATACATGCATAACTTCACTAGCCAAACTCAGTGTCCAAGCCACGAAGCTGTTACGGCAGTGCCAATTTTGTCCCCGGACTGACCGATCTGCTCACTCCGCGCCATGCATTTATCATCACCGCATTGTGGCTGCATACGGCATTCGTTATCGAAGGTCAGCAGGGCCTGGCTGCCCCGGCCTCATAGGTCCAAGCTGACCCCAGGCTGGCATTGCGGTCGGGTGGGAGGGGGGGGGGGGGTCTGCCGGCCGCCGGACGGTTCTCGCTAACCTGCGGCCTCCCGGCCGGCGGACTGACCGGGCGCTGGGGTCGGAAGAGCAGGCTGGCCCAGCTCGCTGGCAAAGGCCGAGCACTCAGCCCAGCTCACTGGCCACGGCTGAGCGTCCAGCAGTGCAGCATCGGCACGGGCCTCATTCACGCTTTCTCTCTCATTCGGCGTCATGTTGATAGGTTGGGCTGTCGCCGTTTCAAACTACGCGGTTCCGTTTGCATTTTAGGACGAAGAGAAAATTCGGCTCTGTGGACGGGAACATAGCGCCCTGGAGCGGGTCGGTGGTAGAAGCAGATCCTTTGGTTATCTGTCTTTAACTTAAAAGTTTGGCTGCTGACATTGCCAACCGTTGCAAGTTGTGCGTGGAAGGCTGGCGAATAAATCAGTTTGCTATAAACGCGTCTGTTTGTGGAGCTTAAGGAGTGCAGTTGTACTTCTCCATACTTAAATGTGAAGTTTCCGCATAGTTCACCATTGTCTGCTTAAGTAATTTGTTGCGTATCTATGAATGTTTCCACAAGAATATTGACCATGATATATGTTATCACAACCCCTTTGCACGCGGGTTTTCCACACCAACATTTCATCGATAACACATATTTGTTTTCTTAAATGTAACACAAAACATTAGCACTCCTCTACGCATCATTTAATAACATGTCCCCAACCCTCCCCCAAATGCGCTCAGGCAGATGCCCGCTTGTCGCATATGTCTTTTCCCCGTTAATAACGCACTGTGCAAGCTTGCCATGGAGTGCAGTGGGACATAGGGTTGACGGAGGGTCCCTTCCTCAAGAAAGGCCCTCTCACAAGAAATCTGATGCTATGGCCCACTTGATTTCGAGGGTCACTATTTTGTACCTTTTTATAATACTTTTATATATTATTTATGTGCCCTTTTTAACTAAGACAGAAGTCAGAAGGCACCGAAAGATGCAATTGTGTTTGCATTTTAAGTCAATAATCTGAAGGAACCAGGTGTTAGATAAATGCATTGAATAACCGCCGACGCGATTCATTTTACAATGGTTCAGTGGACTTTTTCTATGCCGATAGTAATTACAGGTTGCGTTGGAATTCTTCTGGGTTGTGCTGAGCTTTGTGAACGTAGATTGCAGATCAAAATGGGGAATGACGTTGCATTGACATAGGTGATCCATGCTTGCTTGGAAATTTTTAACCTTTGCTCAACATTGGGTACTGGAAACATTACGTAAAAGTTTTAACCACACGCGCTCGCAAGTCTTTGAAGAAAACCGCAGACGACCAGCATTGCAGTCGCCTTAGGCTGCGAGTTGTTGGGCCGCGGGTAACATTAGACGGTGGCCACTGGGCGGGCGGGAACGATAACTGAAAAAGTACCTTTAAGCGGCTTAGGAAGTAATTCGTACGTTTAAAAGATAGTCCGGAGTGTGTGTTTACCTGTGCAATTTTTATATTTATAAGAAGAGTGGATTAGCATTCACGGCACCGCGCACCGTTGGCGGACTTTGGTGATCAAGTCAAACAAGTCAAAGTGGAACCTCTATCTTCGTGTTGCTGCCGCTGTTCAGAGGACAATAACAAAATTATGCGAGTGATATAACGCTCCAGCCTATTTTTGGAACGGCTCGAATTGATTTTGAAAGGCTTTCGGAAGCATTATCCCGCGACGGCTGTGCTCCCGCGTCAGGCACCCGCCGCCCGGTGTTAGCTGTGCCGGCCATCGCCGCTCGGTTCGATGGAAACTGCAACCATCGACCATCGGCTTTCTTGCTGCTGAGATTGCGAGCACGCAGGCACAAAACTTTGTCTCATAATTTGTTTCACAAGCTGATACCGACAAAGGTGAACGTCCTCTTTGTGTTGGCCATGTTCGTTTTTGACCTCATTTTGATCCCCCTATTGAACACTTAGAAAGCCCTTACCTTTTCCGAGGAAGGGGCCCAGTGGGTAGAACACTAGGGGCGCATTACATTTCCCGGTCAGGGGTTTCAAGGCCATTCCGTCGCAGTGCGTGGTGTCTGCCGCTTGTCATGCTGGTGACACAGGGTTGGGGCCTCCAGGTTGATACGGAAGCCTTCAGAGGGATAAATTTACATTGGTTGCCTGCCTGACGCCGGGGGCCCGTGACCCAGGCATTTGCCTCCAGATTGGCGTAGAAGCCCTCATTGACGCAACAAGACACCTTATCGCCCTAGGTGGGTCGATAATTGGCACAGACGATCAATGGGCCCTTGGCTGAAATGGGGCGGAGTGCCCCGTTCCGCCCTGGTGGCAATGACTGACAGAGGGTCCTTCGATTGTCCCATTTCGGCCCCCCAGTCATCAGTTATCGGATCTCATTCCATCGTCAGACAACCCCGACCAACGCAGGAGACCCCGTGGCATTCGGGGTTCCGCCCCTGTCCATGTTCATTAAATGTTCCTTGGCCGACTCGGGCCCCTTGCCGAAACAGGGCCTTCTTTTGGGTGTTATGAGCCTCTGACCGGCACGGGGCCCCCGTTGTTTCAGGGGTCCCGACCACAGCAAATCGCGGGTCCGGGCCTTGTCCTTGCTTGGGAAATGGACTCCAAGGGCTCTGGCCGGCACGATGCGGACTGGTTAGTGCTGGTAGTCTCCGACCAACATGGAGGTCATCATTGTTCCATGACGTCCTCAATCGGTGCAAGAGGCCCTCTAACATTTGGGAACCAGCCCCTGCAGGACGGGGTTTTATATAACATAAAGCCAGTCCTTCGTGCCCTGCCATCAGGCACGTCATCATGGGTTCCGAGGAGACTTTTGAACACTGCCCTGACCGACTCTTGCCTCCTTGCCAATACAAGACCCTTGTAAGGCACTGTGTGGTCCCCTGACCGACACAGCGTGGGGGGGGGGGGGGCTCATTGACTCAGGGATCCTGACAAATGGAAATCGCGGCACTCAGCCTTGTCCCTGCTGGGAAATGGACTATCAGCTCCCGACCTGGTGCTTTGGTAATCTGCCGGTGAATCCGTTGCGTGTCCTGGCCGTTACGCGCCCACAATAGAGGTGCAGTGTCGCAAAATGGGATGGGGAGCTGAGCAGGGAAAAAAGCTGGCGCTACATACATCATCAAACAGGTTTTTGCCTAGATTTGACCCTCTTTCTTTTCAACTTTATGGATTTGGGGGTTCTCCCCCCCCCCCCTCCCCCTAACTGATCTAGAAATTGCAGCCCTGCTATATTACGTTGCCGTATATTACGTTTCCTCGCTCTATCTCAGCGGAAGATGTCGTCGTTGGGCTTTCTTGTCATCTTGTTTGGCGTCGATCGTCGAAACAAGGTTTCGCTAATCGACGTAGGGACGAGTTTGTGTGGCTTCAGACGTTGTTGGCGTGCACGGCTTCCGAGAGTGGAGAGTAAGATGAGGAGCGCGACTATTAAAGGAATAGAAACACGAGTCTGATGTCTACAAGGTGGGGTGCAGGCTGTAACTCAGCACTCGCGTTATGCGTGTTTGACACGGCTGGTGTGGTTTTGATGGTCATTATTGAACAGTTTACCGCTATCGGTTCATACGGCAGGTGTTGATCATCAGGTTTTGTAACTGTTCCATGGAATATTCACGTCGAAGGTGAAGGTCGGCACATCCAGAGCTTCTTCCCAACGAAGACAGCTAATAACGTGGTCACGTTTTTGGGGGTGTTAGGATTCGGCCGATTTGTTTTAAATTTCCGATAAGACGTGGCAGACGAATGCAACTTGATGTTGTCTGCAGAAATGGGATCATTGCTGAACATGCCGAAACACTCAGACAATGGCGTAAAACTAGGTCAGAGTCGACAAGACATACTGATCGTGTAGCTAAAAACATGCAGCATGCAGAGAAATAATCGGAAGAAACCATCTTTAAAATGGATATAAACTGAGCCACCTTTTCTTACGTTCTGCTTGTATTTAGCTTCCAGAAGGTTGGCAGTACAAACTCACCCATGGGGGCCCGAATCAAACATGGGCGGGGGGCAGTGGCCCACTCAAAAGAATACGAACCGCACCATTGGAGGTCTGCATGAACAGGCAACAGATTTTATTATCTTATGTCTCCGCCTTATTTTCCAACGTATTGAGCACACTGCACATCAAGTGTTTGATATGACGTCGCACTCAAATAAGCTTGCTGAATGCAATGAGTATCTCGGCTTGTTTGGTAGTTTCGGGGTGTTTTTGAGCTTGTTTGGTACTGATGTATGTTTTGGTTCAATGACTTCCCTTTATCGTTCACTGAGGGCCGATTGCATGTATGCAGCACGCAAAACACATGAAAGCGTGCCCTAATAAGCCTTTTAACGATCAGCAATGGGCATTTCGTGACGCACCGTTCCTTAACCCCGCCAGGACTCGTCGAAAATCATGACGGGAACGGATCGTAGGCTCGACGCGACCTCCTTGTCATTTATTAACTACGGACGACAGAGCCTCGCGGAAAACAGTGGATTGCTTTCACCATCGTTCTGTTAATCAGCCACAAGTTGTGTGCTGCTAGGTCAACAACTGACAACAATAACTGCTTCAGGCCAGGTTGAGGTGCAATTTTCCTTAAAATTAGACTGTCTCTGTTTTAATACGAATGATCAGGAGAATGTAGATGTCATAAAGTTGCATGTATGTGACAGTGTCACCCGCCTGCTTGTTGGGAGGCTCGTTGGTTGTTGCCGATGGCTGCCTCTACTGTGCTGCTGCGCGCATACGTCTCCTCATTAAGGATTTCGATGTATTTCAACATCCCTTGACAATGTGAGGAGTCGGTTAATTAAAATGTAACACACAGAAGTGCATACGGCCTTTTGTGTCTGTACGTTTGTTCATTCGTTCGTCCGTCTGCCGTTCGTTATGCTAAGCGTTGTGCCGCTGGACAGCTGTACCGGCGGCTAATGGCTGGGTCTGCCGAAACTGGCCCATCTGGTGCCGCGCCGCTGTGCGTAACGGACTGCGGGCGCGGCACCGACTGCGGCGCCCGCAGCTCGTCACCGTGTCGCGCCGTCCTAACCGACGCCCGGTCTCCCCTTGTCGCCAGCTCTGAAGAGGCGCGCCGCTATCGGCTCGAGGAGATGAACCACCTGCAGCAGTTCCTGCGCGACGTCCTTCTGGGAAAGCACCCTCGGGAGCAGGTGCATGCCATGCTGCAGGTAGGCGCGCCGGCTCGGGAGCCCTGGCGACCCGACGGCGGTGAACATAGGCGCTCGCTTCAATATCCAGTGTCACGTGAAGCAGACCCCTGCGCCTCTGGCGAAATCTGAACCGGCTTCAGGTTCAGTGAGCGTTGCAGTTGCTACCCGGATGATGTCCCGGTGTATTTTTACTCGGTGCGGACGATGCCGTGATGTTCGGCGAACATCGTGAGGGTTGGGTTGTCCGAATCGCATGGAAGAGCTCTTCACAGCAGAGGCAGGTATTCGTGGTGAAGCGGTAGAATTGAACTACCGCAATAAATGTATACTCATGTTTGGTGTTGCCAGCTCCAATGCCTCTGCACAATAAGCCTGAAACCCCTGTGTGATGTTTTCGGTTTCCAGACTCGTCCTTTGCTTGTTATTTTTGCATTGGTTTGCTCATCTATGAATTTTAAGCTGAGCAAATCCCCTACGCATGGAGCATGTGGCTGGAGACTTCTGCCAGCCACTAGGGACACGAATAGGAAATTGGTCCTGGAAAGAAATCCTCTCTGACGGGTTTTGCTACGCGGTTTTGGGAGATGGCACTGTTGGCTGTGCTCTGTTCGCTTTGTTTAAGCGTGCCGTGCCGGCGCTGCTCCGCTTACCGACCGGTCGCTGACGTCATCATACCTCCGTGTTCGTCCGGGCGACATCTTTCAAACGACTCTGACGACTTTCAGGCAATCATGGGCCCGATGATGGGCCAGCTGAACACCTTGGTGGACGGCCCCACGCAGCTGAGCGAGCCATTCTCGCAGGAGTTTAACATCTGCATATTCCAAACGCTGGCCGACTTCAGCCGTAGCGTGCTGCCGGCGCCGGACGTGGCGGCGGCGGCGGCGCCACCGCCGCTCAATTGGAGCGCTCCGGGCGCTGGCGGTGTCACCATCACCGAGCTGGCGTCCGAGCCGTCGTCGTCGTCGCCGCCGCCTCCTCCTCCGCCGCCGCAGTCGCTGCCTCCTCCACCGCCGCCACCGCCGCCGCCGCCCGCGTCTAGCGCCGCCTGCCCGGACATGACGCTGCCTAGTCATAATAGCGGCGCACTGGCACCGCTGTGCGTGGACACGTATTCGGACAGTGATCTGCACAGCCTGCTGAGCGACTGCAGCGAACATTGGCCCGATCCGGCGGCCGGCGGGCCCAGTCCGGCCACCAGCGAGTTCAGTAGCGCCACCTATCCGTCGCCGGGCTCGCTGGTGGCGCCGCCCCGCGACCAGACCAATGAACTCGGTTCCGCTCAGTACAACGCATGCGGCGCGTTTGCCGGCGCGTCGTCCGCTCAGTGTTATGCGTCGCCGCCCGCGCCGCCGGCGCCCGGACCGGCGCCCAACGGGCAGACAGTTTCGCCACCGTACGGCCACCCGGTGCGGCAGTCGTGCCAGTTTCAGCCGGCGGCGGCGCCACTGTCGATGCCGTTCCAGCAGGACGTGTTCATGCACCCAGCGCCGCCGCAGCAGTCATATTTGCCAGGTAAGAGAGGCGGCGGCTCATGCATTGTCAGGTGGGGTGAGGTTCTTTGAAAGGCCATATCTGGTGTTAAAAGTGCTGTATGTAGCTATTCAAGATTTTGTTTCCTGTGGAATTGAATGCTGAATGGTGGATTTGAATTTTGAATGTATAATGCGCGCGATGTAACCTGCGCGTACGAACGGGCGCTGGATTTGCTTTTTGCGGTGCCCGTTCGCAAGAAAATACCTTGCTAGGCACATTAAATATGCGACTGTAAAACCCACATGTTATGACGTGTACCAACGTTGGTGACTATTGAGCTTGTCAACAATGGTTATATGATTTCGGGATTGGCCACTGTGTGGCAGCTCCTGCTTCTGCTTCTGCTTCAGAATATGGTAACGGCTCGGAACGTTGATGGATTCTTGGAAACCAGCCTTGCTCTCGCATTGATACATTTTTGCTCTTCAACATAAACTAATTGAAAAGACGAGTTCTCACTCCGTGCGTTATGGCGTATGAGAGCCATGGTGGGCCTTGCGTAACGTGGCTTACATTTTCCGGGATATGTACTAAGTGAATATTTTTTGCAGATTATCCGCTACATTCTCAAGAGGTATTACTTAATAGGCATTACATGGCACAGGTGAGGCAGGATGACAGTGTCTAACTACACGACAGATGTCATATGTTTATGTTCCGGACTTTTGGGGGGCCATATATGTGCTCATTCGCGCAGACGTGGCTCCCAATTATTGCTTGAACAAAGCGGCTGCCGACATGTCAGACGTGACCGCCCTAACACTTGACACGATTTAGTTGGCCAGTGCTGCCTATCTTGGCCTGTAACCGCCGGAGGCCCGACCACCGTGACCTCTGAACACCATGACCCCTGAACACCGCCCTGACCCCTGACCACACTGACCTCTGACCACCGTGACCCCTGACCGCCGTGACCTCTGAACACCGTGACCCCTGAACACCGCCCTGACCCCTGACCACACTGACCTCTGACCACCGTGACCCCTGACCGCCGTGACCTCTGAACACCGTGACCCCTGAACACCGCCGCGACCTTTGAGCGGTGTGACCCTGACCGCTGTGACCCCTGAACACCGTGACCCCTGATTACTGTGACCCCTGAACACTGCCGGGATTCCTGAACTTTGCCGTGACCCCTGAACACTGTGACCCCTGACCGCTGTGACCCCTGAACACTGCCGTAACCCCTGAACACCGTGACCCCTTACCGGCGTGACCCCTGACCGGCGTGACCCCTGGCCGGCGTGACGGCTGACCGGCTTCGCCCGCGGCCGACAGCAGCCGACGATGGAGGTGACACCGCAGATGGCGGGGGCCGACCTGTCGCTGGAGCTGCCCTGCGACCTGCCGCTGCTGCTCACGCCGCCCACCTCGTCCAACCCGCAGGCGTCCGGCGACGACGCTCTCATGAGCTGGAGTCAAGGCTGAGGAGGCCGCCGACGCCGCGCGCTGTGATGGCCTGAGGCGGGGGAGGGCGCTGCGGGCGGCTGCCGGGCGACCCTGCCACCTGTCAGGGCCTGCTGCCGGCCGGCGGCCTCGAAAGGCCGCGGGAATGGGGCAGCGTGTCGTTCTTGTACTTGCCACAGATGGAAAGTGATCTGCTGTTTTTGGACTCTGAGATCTGCCTGATTTCGACGCATGCAGTGCACTGGGCATCTAAAATTTGTGCCAGGCAGTATAGCTCAATCTACACAAATCGTGTTTCGTGCGGGCGTTAACGCGTGCCGTGCCACCGCAGAACCTCATGCTCCCTGGCGCCCCTGTCGAGGAGGGGCCAAACATGTTGCCAGTTCATTTTCCTTGCCTGTCGGTAGGATACTAGAAACACGGTAGACTAATGACGGCGCGCGTAGGAGTGTGGGCATCCCCGTGTCGACCAGGTTCCAGTTAAACTTGGCTGGCTTTAAAGTTCGCCGCTAGCGGCCTACTCTTCCTGCGGTACAAAGGTGGTGAGCCACTGTCGAGTTACTCGCGTTAGGTTCGTGAGGCGTGAGATGCCGGCTGGTCGCGGGTCGGTGCGCCGGTCAAAGCGTCAGACGGCGTCTGTCCGGTAGCGCGTTGTCAGCACATTGGCACGCTGTCCCAGCGTGGGGTCCGAGTGTGTTCTCCGTAGCCGATTGCATGGGGGTGTCGCGGTGGGCTCAAGGCTCGCCCTGTTGTTTCAAGCTCACAAGTAGCTGTATGCCCAGTGGGCGCTGTTAGAGAAATTCCATCCATCAAACCGCAGAGTTTCAGTGATAATGCAATGTTCGTTGCCTGTGAAGGGAAACTGGTGGGACTTCGTTTCGGGGTGCGTTATTGCATCTTCAAATGCACCGAATGAGCAATTTTAGGTAAGTGGGGTCAAGCTGCGTAGCATCGCAGTGGGTACATGCGGGAATTTTAGTTGCCAATGAGCCAGTTGCATGTGGCAAACTACAGTGATACCTCGAAAACGTTTTACCACGTCCCCTCAACAGAAGAGAAGCAGAAATTAGCAAACGTTGAAAGGAAATGATTTCCTGGGAAATGGCCGACCGATTTTAGTCCACACTTACTTGCATCAAAATACCTGTGAAATGGTTATTTCGGATCCAATCTTAGGCTACCCAAGACGTTAGAGTTGGCCACGTCCGGTCTGAAATGTGCATGTTCCATCTCACGTTGCCGCCATTGGAGGGGTTTTCTGAGCGGAATGAGGCTGGCTTGCTGACTGGATTGAAACGCGGCTAGTGTCTACCGCCAGGCGGCACAGCCAGGGGGGAGGGGGAGGGGGCGGGTGTGTATGGAGTGGAAGGATGGGTACCCTGCTGACCGGGACCGCCGGCAGTGTACGGATGCTGCTCGCTCGGCAATGGCCGGCACGTGTGTGGAAGCGAGTGTGTTGTATTCTGTGATAAGTGCGGGGCACTGAGCACAAATCAAAATTCAGCTGGTATTAAATCAAACCATAAGCCTGCTACGTGTGAATGAAAGCTAAGCATCCTACGCGATGGCTTTCAGGAGAAGGCTGCCTGTAGTCCCGTTGGTAGCGCTACGGTTGTCATCTTCGTCGCCAAATCCTCCATGGTACCCCTCTCATTGAATATTTGTTAAAGTCAAGTTGAAGATGATATCAAAACTTTTTACTTCTCTTGGTGGGCTATTTAAAATAACCATCCTGTAAGGAATAGCAGTGTGCATCAGTTTGACACGTACGCTCAAGTCAATACGAATGCAGGAAAATCAAAAATTACTTCGGTGATGCACCTGAAGTCTTTGAGTCAGTGATGGGCCGAGCCCGGTAGTGAGTCAGCATGTCTAGTGATGTTGGATGCCACGTGGTGCTTGTGGGTCGTAGGACGTGGTTAAGAATAGTCGTACATACTCTCCCCATCCGAGAGGGGCAAATGTGATTTGGAATGGTCTTAGATGTGTAAATCAGCCGCGGATTCTGTCAGCAGATGCATTATCAAAAAGTACGCGGATTTACGTTCGGCTGTAACGTGACTTCGAAAAAAATGAGCACAACTGGTTTTGAAAAGATAACCACCGTCATCTCCTTCAGTGTTTCTGAACTTTCACACTGAATGAAAGGGATTGATCTTGGCAAGGCAAAAAGGGGAACATTGGCTGTGGCAGCGGCTCTCTTTAATCCAAACAATGACAGATGCATGTAGACGTCATGCATTTATAACCCATCCAAGATGGCGGTGTTTTCTGGAGTCATCCATCCAAGATGGCGATGTTTTCTGGTACCGCCCATCCAAGATGCAGCGTTGTGTGGTTTGACCCATCCCAGATGGCGAAGCGTCGGGTATGACCTATCCAACAAGGGGAAGTGTAGGGTATGACCTATCCAAGATGGCGCACGTAGCGTATGACGCATCCAAGATGGCGGCGCAGTGTGGTTTGACCCATCCAATATGGCGGTGGCTGCTGGTTGTGATTGGTGAATGTGTGCTGTTGAAGATGATAATGTCATGTGCCATGGTTTTGAGAGGAGTCGAACGCTGCGTGGTCTGCGGCCGAGCCGTCTGTGTTGTTATGCACACGTAGTGTTTTGGTGAGGTGGGCCGCATTGTTGCTGTACGTTAAGCGTGATCATACCAGAAACATGTTTGTACAATAAACTCACATCACTACATGGTGGCAATCGTGTGCATTGAACTGGAGACGTGTTTTAGACGGCCACGTACCGAGACCTTTGTAGGTCAAACTTTTAATATTATCCAACTAGCGAAGAAAAAATGCATTCAACACTGCAATCACTTTCCAGACAGGTGTCCAGCACGGAGAGCATTGGCGATTCCCAAATGATAGGTGATGCTGAGCAAACAATGCGCTTAATGTTGTTTGTGCACTCAGTGCACACTCAGCGGGGTTAAGGAACGGTGCGTCACGAAATGCCCATTGCTGATCGTTAAAAGGCTTATTAGGGCACGCCTTCATGTGTTTTGCGTGATGCACACATGCAATCGGCTCTCAGTGCACGACAAAGAGAACTCATTGAACCAAAACATACATCGGTACCAAGCAAGCTCAAAACCCCAACGAAACTACCAAACAAGCCGAGATACTCATTTCACCGGAATGAAACGAGCTTTTCCCTTGTACGTGCGCACGAGCCAGCCATGGCACGTGGAACACCTGATTCGGAGTTCCCCCAGCGCTCGATGGCCGACCTCGACATCCCGGGCCAGCGCGATCGACAGCCAACCCCGCCACCTAGCGAGAAGTCTTCGAATCAGTTTAACCTTGGTGCCGCGCGCAGCCGAGGCCCGCGCCAAGAACGACCCCGTCTACTTCTCCTACCGCCCGCACCATACCAACCGCGGAATGGCTACGCGAGCGCCGTACCGTGGCGCGCGTAGTGTTTACAGTTTGTGTTTACGGTTTTTACAGTTTAAAATGTTTACAGAACACACCTCTCATTTGCTTTGCATCGCTGGCTCAATTAGGTGCTAAACGGGCGTTCCTTTTTGAGATGTTCCACTTGACAGCGTAACCAGGCGGGGTTTCACCCAGCGTAAACGACAGGGCGGATCCAGGATTGCATGAAGGGAGGAGCCCAGGGAGTCATGGATCCTACCATTCTGAGCTCAGTGTTTCGGAGAACATATGGCAAAATGAGTCAAAGTTGGCTCCTAAACACCATCCAAGTTGAGCACGACAGCACGACTCGAATGGCTAGCCATCATTGTCTTACGCACGGCGAAACCAACCAAAAGTTTCATTTTGAAGGTCGCTAACCGTGCAACGAAAATTAAAGGCAAAAACTGTGCTGTACGCTAAGTCATTTGTTGCATTCTTTGTGCTGCGATAATATAAAAATAACTTTTGAGCTTTTGACACTACACGGTAAAACGTTGATTTTTTACGTACATATTATCATCGTAATAGTGTGTATAACTTTATATATAATGGGCGTCATTTCTAGTTGTTCATCAGATTGTCCGACTGCACATCCTGCCTCGCGGGTGGCACAATGTGTTCCACGTAGTACGGTGAGCTGCGCGGTACATGTCATCTATGAGCCGAGTGGGCTCAGCCAGGATTTCGTGCACCGAAAGGTACGAACGTTGGGGTGTCCCTGGAATGTTTTGTTTCTTAAGAACTGACGTTTTGGGACCCTCTGTGATGCTCCCTAAAACACGGCACCTCAGGAAAATAAAGACTAGGGCGTCCCGAGCTGAAGGTTTTGGTGCTCCTTCGCCGAGTGGCCGATGCAGGATTTCGTCAAGGGACCTTGTGGTGTCTCCTGAACTTGGGGTCTCTCGAAAATGCGATTGGGGCCGTTTGTGACAGTTCTGGAACTCGACGCCTCTTGAAAATGAAGGTTACGTGGCTCCTAAATGAAGGTTTGGTGCCCATTCATTATCAGATTCGATGCCCCCTCTGGGCACCAAACCTTGTGGACACGTAGCCAGCCGTGTCAGGAAACGCTGCACATGCTGACTGTACATAGAGGAACACACTGAAGCTCCCGCGGCGCTTATTAAAGGGAGTGTTCCACATTTGTATTGGGTTTTGGGCTGAAATAGCCATCTGAAAGATCATTGGCTGCATTTCGCAGCGCTGCCCTTATTAAGACGTAAACTTCTCTAATTTTTAAACTACTCACCCTGCAAAAATGTGCAGACTTTTACGGGAAGACTATTTTAAGGTCACCTAGGCATCCATGACGCCATAAGAATGCCAGTCAAATCCTGCCATTTCATAAGTCATGCGGCGAGCAAGGCCGAGAAAAATATGATTGTCGAGTCGTCCGCATCTAGCGTTCGTGAGCACGACTTCCAGATAAAACGGCCGTCAGTTGGATCTCGATCAACGTTGCACAAGGCATGATGGCGTAATCAAACAATGCCGTATTAAGAAGTGTGTTTTTTAAAAGGAAAGTTGTGTTGTCTAGATACTTTTTTCCACGTTAAGATATATTTATAGTTATCATTGGTCTCATTTCATCATGGCTGGTCCTTGCTTCAGTATCTTCAAATGGGGAGCATTCCTTTTAATAAATGTTGTTATGACAATGCAAAATTTGTCACACACTTAACAAGTCATAGCGAACCTTGAATTTCCTTATCTGACTCACATACAACTAATGCCGAAGATGAATAAGGTACACATTTGAACAATAGACATGATCTAAGATACCTTTTCACGGGATATCAGAACACAGAAAGTTTGCATATTAGTGAGCTCGCACGGCAGCATAGCGATCGGTTTTGTTGCTTGATTTCCAAGTCCAGCAACAGTTAGTCCCAAGTCTAGGTTACAAATGAGTACATGCTCTCTATGCCATATCGAGGCGTCTCTTACAACTGTTATATGGGGATCAATGGACGTAGTACCACCAGAAGTCGCCCCACCATACATTCGTTTTGCTCAATTTCTCGCTTTCTCAGTGCACAAGGGGATCAGCTCCTTTGGGGATCATAAGACACGACGCCACTTGTGGAGGATCAGAGGACACGATTGCGCTTGCGTACGACGTACTTGTCAACGGCGGCCGTCCGATACCAGCATACGAACGGGCATAAATGGTCAACGAATACCGGTTACGAACGGAAATAGCCGGCTTTAGATACAGAGATACGAACGGGCATAAACGTGAAATACTATCGAAAAACAAAACGTGCAATACTAAACAATACTGGTTAATCCGTCATTACCCATCTAAATCCAACCGGCCTAAAAATGGCCCTTCGGGAACGCAACACGCCGGAACCATAGTTAGTATCCGGGCAGGATGGAAAACAATACCGTCGCGACCCGGACAGACGGCACTGGGGCCTCAGCGCCCGTGCCTGATGGCAACGCAACTTAACGGCCGCACTGCCATTGAGGTAAGAAGCGGTCCGCTAGCTCGCTTGGGCTGTGGGCCCAGGGAACTTCCGCGAGCACCACGTTACTGGTATGACTTTTGACCTTTCACCAAGGAAGCGGTGCTTGGCGGGGAAGAAAAGCTGATGTGCTCCATATGCCAGAAGCGTCAAAAGTCTCCCAAGATTAACATGATTCGGAGCAGGAGCGTAGTTTACTATTCAGTTGGGAGCCTCCCTCCTCCCCCACCCCCCCCCCCCCCCCCCCCAACTTGGCTTCAGTTCACAACTCGGGCTGCAGCCCCCAACTCTGGGAAGAAAGTGGATCGAATGTGGGGAGAATCCTTAATAATCCTTAATAAACGTTTGCACTCAGAAATTTGGCTTCTTAATATGCGTTTGATATCGGTCCAATGGTTAAGGCCAATTCTAAGGCGAAAGCTTGTGTTTGGAA